AAAAAAATTTAAGGTATTTCTTAAAACTTAGATATTTTTCCAAAATTTATAAATCCTCTATTAAATATTAGTAACTCAACTAATGTGTATGAAATTTATGGATGAATGCTTTTTACATGGGAAAAAAAAAGCATTTGTTTTTTAATATTTATTTGTCCTTTTTTTTTGTATTTTTAAGGCCTTTTTTATCGATTAACTAGCAGTTAAAATTAAATTCGTTAATGTAGGAGCGATATTTTCAGTTTTCAATTGTAAAAAAAAAATATTATACTAAAAATAATTTTAAAATCTCAAATATTTTTAGACATATGATTTAAGAAAAAACTACCACTTAACCAATATTTGGTGTGATATTTCTTGGAGGAGCGATCATGACTTGAAGAATTAGATGAGACAATGGTAGAGTAGAGACAAGAGAGGAGTCAAACCGAATGAATTAACGAAATTGCGCATTATCGGTTCCTTGCCATGAATCATGATGGATCACTTTTTAATATATCTTATTTGGGTGGTTACAAGAAATTCTTAAATATATCGGTTATTTATATTGTATCCAATTAAAATATTTTATATCATGTAAATAAAATATTATATAATATTATTTTAATTAATTTTATTTTTATAATAAAAAAATATTTAATTTCTTATCTTTTCTTTTTCTATTGTTGTTAATGTTAAAATTACTTTAAATTTAATTAATTATTAGTAACTAAAAAGTATCGAAGTCGTCAGACAATACCTTCAAAAAAACCATTTATATAATTTCTCCAAAATGGTCAATCAATATTATGCTTATATAAAAGCATGTGGGCATAGTATGAACAAAATTATCTTGACATAATCATCGTTTCTCTCTTGTCTTTTCCTTTATACGAATTCTAGTAATTTTGTTTACCTACTGCTTTTCAATAATTAATTTCATATCACACCTAACCTTGCCTCTCATTTCATATGATTTCCTTCGGAAGTAACAAACAAAGAATACAGAAGGAGAGAAAAAGAAATGCATGCATTGGTCATTTCCCCATCATTGTTTACCTTTAATTCTTAATTTAAAATAATTCAACATTTTTTAATTCATTTTGATCGGTCCATTTGTTTGTTTATCACCATTTTCTTATAATCTAATGCTAACCTTGTCATCCGTAAGGACAAATACCTAATATTACTCAATTATCTTATCAACGACTTAGAAATATCAAAGTCATCTTCTTATTCTCAATTTTTGTTTTATATTAAAAGTGCATGTTTACTTCTTTTCCCAATCATTTCCTTTAAGAAGGAGATAAAAGATTTTATATTTTGTAAAAAATAAAAAATATTAAAATGAGAAATATATATATATATATATATGAAAAGGAAACTTTATTGAAATTCAAATATTTCAACTTTTGAGGATTTTGTCCCGTTTTTATATCGCCTTGGAAGCCTTCATATTTCACTCCTTACTTCAATAAATATAAAAAATAAAATTTAGAGCAAATGATGTTATTCACAATTTCACATACAGTAAAGAATACGAGTAATTTTTTCTAATTTATTGCAATCAGACCCACCTATTTGTCGTAAACATATGAAAATATAATTAATTATTGGTGATTTTATTTTTTTTTAATTTTTGAAAATGGAAATAATCATGCAGAAAAAAGCCATGGGATGATTCTGGAGCGACATGAAGAAATTTGAGGTATGATATTTAAGATCAAAACAAATAGCTCAATCATCGGTTCTCTCTTGTATTTTCCTCGATATATGAATTCTTATAATTAACTTAATTAATTTACTCATCTACTTCCAATAATTTCATAGTATACCTAATCTTGTGTGTTCACCTACTTCCTCCAGTTTCATTCGTTCTTCTCAATGATGTCGGGCGTTATTTGTGATTTCCAGAGGGGTGAGAGAGAGAGAGAGAGAGAGGAATTTAAAAAATGGTTAGGTATTCTGTTATTTTTTCCAAGTCTCCAAGTTTGACCCATATAAATATGTACTCAAATTGTATCACATAATTTTAAAAAATTGGTTCACTTTAATAATTATAGTTGAAAATAAATAAATTGAACTAAAATATTTTGTGTAAATCAACATAAGCAGTAGTAATGATTTTTCTTTAATGTGAATTATGAGGGATAATTTAAAAGATCTATAATAAATATTTATTAAGATATGATCAACTTCTCAAGAGTCTATACCCCCATGTCTTTAATTATATAAAAAAATTAACTCCTCCCCCATTTAAAAATGTAATGCATTTTTTAAAAAGTTGAATTTTCAAAATATAAGGCATTTTCAATTTTTCAAGGTGTAATCATCAACTTTATTTCAAAAATGCCCCTATATTGAATAAATCACTTTATATTTATTTTAAAGTCAAACACTTTACTAAATGGGGGTAAACATGAAAAAGATAGGGTTAATTTGAAAACACATAACTACTTTATTGAGAGTAAGATTTAGTTAAAAATGCATTATACTTTTGGACGGAAGGAGTAATTCACACAGTTTAAAAAAATTAGTTAATTATAATAATTATGTATAAAATTAAAAAAATTAGACTAAATTATCTTTGCAATTAATGAAATAAATTTTTCTTGAAAATAAACATAAACTTTATGCATGAGAGATAGTTTAGGGAAGATGTAAAAAATAATGCTTCTTGAAATTTTTAGTTTTGCTTATAAATAAAAATAAAGAAGCACATGGTAGTTTCTCTCATATTTGAAAATGGCAAGAGTGTGATATTATATTTAATAAAATTTAAAACTTATATGATGTTACATGCTTTTAATTTCAAAATTATACTTATTTGATTTTTGTTATAAATATAACTAATATAAAGAGTAGAGAAAAAACAAGATACTAGTATTATAAGAAGTGGGAGAGAAAATAATAGAAGAGAATTTCTTTTTCACTTAGGTACATATACTTAGGAGATAGCCTCTATTTATGGGTATCAAATAACTATTAAAGTCCTACTCTAGTGTTACGAAAAAAATAAAGAGGCATATAATGGTTACAAGATATTAAATATAATAAAGACCTTCCAAATCATTCATTAAGATATAACTCTTACAAAGGTTATTGGTTTAAGACATTAAGGATAAATAAATTCTAAATGATATGGGTTATAGACATCCACAATATAATATTTATTACAAGACTCGCCTTGAGATATACATAACAAATATTGTGCTTTATTAAAATTTTACTAGGAAAAGCCCAATGGAGTAAAAAGTTAGTGAACGAAAAAAAGTACACAATATTTTTAAACATACGTTGCCTCATTAAAAACCTTTTCAAAAAAATTCAGTTGCGACAAAATATTTAAAAAAGAAAAAGAGTATAACATGTTATCTACTTCCCGGTAACAATATTTTAGAATATCACTTCACTACCCCTAGTGTCACCATTATTTTATGTTTTTAAATTTGTGTATTCCAATACTATACACTAACTTTTCAAATATTAAGCTAGCAGTATCTTAATAAACAAATATGTAAGATTGTTATATAAGTGAATTTGTTAGACATCTATATTATCTTTCTTCAAAAGATCACGGGTGATATTTTTTTTTTGGAATAATATGTTTGTTTTGTTCTATCTTCTTTGACGTATCCTCCATCCTTTCAATTAAACTATTCACATGGTATTTTTTCGACCTCACTTGGCATTGTAAAGATGCTTTGTGGGGTTCGATGTATAGAAGCACAAAACGAAGGTAACACGTAATATTATAAGTAGCTTTCTTCTTGATGTATAGGAACAGACTCAGAAACAAAGAGTGAAATAAAAATTAGAGCTCAAATATGTCAGTCACATTTTAAGGTGACATATGTAAAGAAGTAAATGTGGTTGTGGTTGAGATAATTAATCACTTGAACATGGAGTACTTCTTGAATATAATATTGAATGGTACCGCAATATTTAATTAGGAATTAGGAGAGTGGAGCTATCAAATAATTAAAGTGAGTGGGGCAAGAGTCAGAGTTGGAATCAATTCCAATTGGTAGAAGAAAATGCACTGATAATCCTTCTCCCTCTTCAATAACACAATTTTTTTTTCCCCAAGTTGTGCTTTGAACGTAACAACCTTGAATTTTTTTTGAAAAAAATCATCTCATAGAATTTTTGGCACAAGAGTATCCCCCACCCACCATAAGACAAAGCGTGTGTGACTGGGTCAATTCACAAATTAATGAGAATTGTAATGTTGCTGGGTCAGGTTATGCCTCAATTATTATTTGTTTATTTAAAGCTTAATTACGATTTAAAATTTTTAAAAATTACTTGAATAAATTATCACTTGTGTTTTTTAATATATAAATTAATTTTTGCTCATCATGTAAATTGTGATTGCTGGGATACGAGGGTCATTTCACTAATTAATGTGAATTGTGGTGTTGTTGGGTCAAGTCTATGCCTCAATTCCTTATTTGGACTGTTAACTGCATTTAAATTTTTTAAGGATTACATGAATAATTATCATTTGTATTTTTTTTAGATATATCAATTTTTGCACTATCGTGACAAGTTTTTTCCCATGGAGAAATACTATTAAGCGTGGTTCTCTGTCTAATAATGTTTTTAATGAATGAGATGACTAATCATTACCTGAAACACTTTTGTGTTCTCTTAGTTCCTTAATAAGCATAGGGCTTGCACACGATCATCAAGATAGTATAAATCTATGTGTAAAACGGAAATAGTCTTTCAGCTATCAATCTAAATGTTAAATGTGATATGTTTATATTTCATGTTTTTAGCAGTTTGAAGGGAAAAAAAATTGTTTGAGAAAACGCCCATCGCCCTTTCATTATATGTAGTTAGGATGAGAATTAGAATGGTGGCAGTGACGTTAATTTGAATTGGATCACGTCCTTCTGTGATGGAACTGTACCAGATGAATTAACCACTCGAAAATGATCAACTTATTATCAAGTTAGTACAATGGGAAAAAAAAAATACAAAAACAAAAAACAAAAATCATCAAACATTGTGAAACTGAAATTGGAATCCATCCACTTGCAGCAATCTCATGGAAGCCGCCTGAAATTCCAGAGTAGATGTGTTCACATACTAATCTGGTGAATGTTAATTACAAATGCAAGTCCCTCCTTTCTTTGTGAAACTGCACTCCCTCCTTCCAATTGCTTGCTTTACCAACTCGAGCTCTTCTATCCCTCAGGCCTCAATTATTTTCAGAATTAATTAGAGCAACTATTTATCCTATTTGATAATAGTAAGAGACAAACGTACTCACCTAGCTCTTAGAATTAATTAACAGTGGATAGCTTCAAATTCATAACTCTTGCATGTCATCACCTGTGAATGGTTTCCAACAAATTGAAAGAAAAGTTGATAGTTGTATGAGTGATTGAAGTAATAAAAGTAGAGAGGATAAATAGGATATAGTCACTTAGTTCTTAAAAAAAAAAATTCGTCATTAATTTACATCTCTAAATCATTGTTTTTTGTTTTTTTTGTAGTGAACCGTTCCTTGTTTTTGAAAACAAGTAAAATTAAAAAAGCTTGCATGGATAAGTATTTTAAATTTAATTATTTTCAAAATTGTTCTCATTTTTGTTTTAAAAGACAAAAAATGAAAACATCTTAAAGGTTTTTTTGCTTTATTTTTCTTGTTTTCAAAGTGTATCATGATTTCTAAGATCGACTTGACATGGTTTCTAGATAATTTTTTAGGAAAGTATAATTAAAAAGAAAGAAATAGTAACTTTAACTATGACATTGGATTAATAATTAATTTTGACATGTATAAAAGTATTTTGACACCTTTGAAGAAAATCATAATTTTAAATTCATAATTGATTTTAGTATGTGATAAGAGTGCTTCCATTTTTTTTAAGAAAACCATAATTGATTCAAAATCAGTCTTATTCATCAATTTTTTAAATTAATTACACCACAAAACATAGTCATTCATATTCAAATTAAAATCAATCTATAAATGAATTTTTATCAAATCTTAACCCAAACAATGTACCGCAGTTGCATGAACAGTTGAAAAGAAAGTAAAAGAGATTAATAAGCATTTTTCATTTACTAGATGGTAACATTCTTAATGTAATAATTTTTTTAAAATCTAAAATGACAAGTATTTAAGAAGGGAGAAAAGAAGATGATTCGTTGTTACCTGTTATTGTCTTTTTCTCTCTTCTTCGTGCGTCATACAGTACTATTCCAGCTACTTCGTCAAGGAGGGACCATGAAAGCTTGATCACATCAGGAGTAGTCAGTTTTGGTTGGGTCAAATGATTGAGATGGCACCACTCTTGCATGTCTTTTTAACATGACACTCGCCACCCACATCCCAATATTCTAATGGAATTAGCATAATTAAGTAAAATGTGAAGAGAGTTGTGTTATGAGGTGTTAGATGTTGCCAACATACTTTTTTTCATTTAATTCCAACACCGTCATGCACAAGTGTGGAGTCATATCACCCCCAAAGTAAATAGAATGTGCCAAGTCTTTGCATATATGATGATATCATCTTTTGCACTTTTACTATTCCACCAGATCTCACCCCCCGACATGAGACACATTGGAGGCATACAACTTTTCCGAACCATTCACTTGTACGGAAATTTTGAGGTATGTCTACTTTTATCTCAGTATTTCTTTCCATAATCACCCAAAAGATAATATTCTTCATTTGGAAACCATTATGGCATTTTACATCCTGGTATGATTGCAAGAAAATCTTTGGGGAAGATATTCCGGCTACAACATTACTAAATTGTTATATTCACAATTTCACGTTAGGTATTTACGCATTTAGTTCGCTGACAATACTAAAATAAAGAATTAATTATATTATATATATATAGTTAAAAAATACACATAAATCATTGGATAGATTCAAAGTAGACAAAAATACCTCATGGTCACATGAAGCAACCAAATTCCATATCTCTGTATTTGATAAATGAGGTTCCATTGAATCACATTTGGATCCACCTAATCTGATTAATCGTGGTGGAAGCTGGGCAATGACTTGAGCCTTTTGCATTCATCCAGAAAAAGGTAGAGAAGTCAAAAGAGACTTGAGAAGAAATGGGTGGGTAGATTAACAAAATCATTACTTCTTAGATCCAATACAATGAGTAATGATAAACTGCCAAGATTATCAAAAATTGATCCATTATTTAAGCCACAACAACTTAAATGTAATTCTGTTAATGATGTTAGATTCAAGCCAAAAATCTTGTGACTCACAGGAATCTTCAACAACTTGTCAAGATTAGTAATTTTGCAGCCAACCAATTTCAAATTTTGAAGACTAGTCAAGGAACCAACTGATTTTGGAAGTGTAGTTATAGTATTACAACTCACATCAAGATATGAAATTTTTTTCATACCTTTCCCAAACTGTTGGAGCATCACAAATTTTTCACATTCACTTAGATATAATCTTTCCAAAGAATTTGTTTCCAATTTTCTTGGTAGGATTTCAAGATTGCTACACCGAGGCAAGTCCACCTCAAGAAGTCTTTTCAACTTTCTAAGTGAGGCATGAACCATGGCAAGGTATTTGCACCCATTGATATTTAAATGTTATAAATTTGGAACTTCTGAGAAATCCAAAGTTTTGACCAAGTTGAGAGAGTATCCTTATCAATATGTTTTAGCATTTTCATAGACTAGTTGTTTGGGCTAAGTTGTTCACACGCGAACACTAGTCAAATAGAAGATTGGGGAGTCAGCCTTACAAATAACATATCAATAAAACATGGAGATAGGGGAACATTGTCCAGAAAAACTTCACAAGAAAATTAATCGCTGAAAGGGAGTTGGAGAGTTTTGAAAAATGAGGTCCTTCTGTGGCATTATTATAGTGTCATTAAAAGACCAAAATGCCCCTGGCAAATTAAGTTTGAAAATTAAAAAAAGGAAAGGGGTTGCACTTCATGGCATATTACATGCATTCCTGGAAGAATTATGCATGTGCACATACGTTATTGCATTAGAGGGGGATACATTATGTTACACCCTAATACCAAAGGTATGACCGGCATGAAACATGAGATAAACTCATATTCTATATCACACCAAGATACTAAGGGTATGATCGACATGAAATATGAGAAGAACTCATATTTCATATAAGCCTTGATAACCATAAATTAAGCTAAAATATTAATATATATAACTTATATATATAATAATAAAGTTTGTAAAGTTTTAAATGTTTTGTATAAAAATTTTGACTGAGTCTTCCCTATAATTCGGGCCTCCCAAAATTCCATAACAACAACAAAACCTGCCAACCAGACTAGCAAGGAGAGTGGTTCTATTCCAATATTTACATAATAATAAAATAAGACTAAGACCTAACTATGGTGTACGTGGAGTATTAAGTTATGATTACAAAATAAAATACATAGTTTTACCAAAACAATAATCAAAGTAGGCTTCCTATTTTCCAAAAAGAAAAATGGTTCCTCAACGATCTATTGAAAGCGCAGGGTTAGCTATAATATTTGAGACCAAAACAATTACTAGTGAGTAGCATTCCAATAAAAATTATAATTTAATATATATATATATATATATATATATAATTACTAGTGAGTAGTATTCCAATAACTGATAAATTTAATTCAAAATGACTTATTGAAGTAATATACTTTAGCTAACAATAAATAATAAATTTTTTTCAATAATATAATTGTAAAATTAGACAATGCTATCAGAATCACAAAAGTATATTAAAATTTGTATTGCCTATAAAATATAAAATTTCCAATAATGGTGCAGTTAGATAAAATGCTTTTAGAGAACTAATCTAAAAATAAAAAATATTAATTTAAATCTAAGAGGGCTTTATCAGAACAAATAACGAGTATGGACACACAATCCACGATGGTAAATAACAAATTAAATGTGACTTAAAGCCACAAAACAAGCACGGCAAGAGCCATGAATGAAGCGCAAGCATAAGGCCAACCAAGCATGAGTACCATGCTTACGAACACTCATCCCTCCGTTTTACATGCGTTGGCTGTCGTACGGGGCTAGTACCTCCAATGCACTCCGCTAGTTAGGTGTATTATGACGCACCAAGTTCTAAAGGAACTGTTGTTAATAGCAACTAGCGTTTTGAATTTAGTCCCCTTCAGTAGAATCAAGGGTGTATGAAGCAAGAAAAAATAATTTCAAAATTTTCATTTCCAAACATTGTTCAACTATTATTTTTTCATTTTTAAAATTTATTATTATTTACTCCATGCATGAATCATTGTATAAAAAAAATTATATCAACATAGAATTAAGTAATCTAAATTGTTTTTAAGAACTAATGCCGTTGATCATATATACCCTTCTCAATCATTACTTATCAACAAAATAGATTATCGGTAAAATTTAAGATATTATCAGTGATACAAAATTATTATAAAAGTAGGATTAATAAGGACATTTATATAATTTGTAAAAGAATAATAGTGATATTTAAATAAAGAAATTTTATAAATACTTTACTGAAAAATTATTTAGAATGCTACCCACTCACCTGAATTTTTAAAAATTTTATGACTAGACTCTCTTAATTTCTTGCTTACTCCAATAATACCCTAATTTCATCTAGCATATAAACCAACACATTTCATGTCATTATGATTTTCTTTATTAATACAAGCAAGCGAAATTAACATTCAAGCTCTTCAATTATTCATTCAATAACCCCTTAAATGCTTACCAAACCCTTCAACTAACAACATTAGGCACGTTCAACTACAACCATTAATATAACTTATTTTAATCTTAACAAAATTTTAATAATCCTATTTCCACTAACTTCTCCTTTCAACCATATTTGCAATTACCTTGAGTGTATAAAAATTTGGTTTACAGTAATCATCCAACAATTTAATCAACTTTCAACGATAACTATTATCACCATGCATATCTCCAACTACAATAGTACATAGCATTAACTTAAAATACAAATTAATTTTCTCAAAATTATAACAGCCATTAGGAGGAGTAGAGATACGTTCTTCGGCCAGGGAAAGGAGAAAGGATGATTCATGCTGCCTATGAATTCAAAGGAGAAGAAAGGATCACCATCTAACCTTGAATAGAAGAGCAGAAATAACAGCCTCTCCTTAGTTCATAGACTACACCAAAAGATAAAAGAGGAGTTCAACCCAGCCGCTCCACGTGAAGAAGAAGCAGAATCAGCGTGTGTGTGTGTGTGCATAAAGACTTGAGCTTTCTCTACACACACACACACACACACACACACACGGTGCCTAGCAGCTGAGGAAAAAGAAAAACTAAGGCTGAATATGCATGCATACGCCACCTTCATTAGCCCCCAAACAGAGCAGAACCGAGGAAGGAAGAAGACATAAAATTTTAGCAAGCAAACCTCAAATTGGATTACCATACACACATAGACTTCCAACTATTGAGAGAAAGAAAAGAAAAGCTGAACATACACGCATGAGTGCACCTCTTTGAGCCACAGAACAGCAAAGAAAAGAGCAGAGATTCAGCTTAGCACAAGACAGAAAACAGACGACCAGCACAGATGAACACGTGAAGCAAGAGGCATGGCAACGATGAGGAGAAGAAGTCGGAGGTGAGGAAGAAGGGCTCGACGGTGGCGAGAAAGGAGTATTCTAATGTCGGTGAAGAAGGGATATGGGAGTGCTCTGTTTTTGCTCCCACACGAAGAATATGATCTGATCCAAAAAAATTTAGGAAAAATTGCAAGAAAAAGCATAAAGAAAATTAGAAGAAAGTCCTAGGGAAAAATTACAAAAGGCCTCCAAAACTCTTCTATAATTTAAAATAAACTAAAATCAAACTTGCTAAAAATTTATTTAAATAAAATATTTTTGAGAGAGAAATTTGTTCAACTAATTTTTTTTTTTGTCATAAGATTTCATAAGCTTTGATTAGCCGTAAGTTAAACTAAAATATCAATATATAAGTTGTAAATATGATGATGATGATGATGATGAAGAAGAAGAAGAAGAAGAAGAAGAAGCATAAAGAAAATTACAAGAAAGACCTAGGAAAAACTTACAAAAGGCCCCCAAACTCTCCTATAATTTAAAATAAACTAAAATCAAACTTGCTAAAAATTTATTTAAATAAAATATCTTTAAGAGAGAAATTTGTTCAACTATTTTTTTTTTGGGTCATAACACTCCATAAACCTTGATTAGCCATAAGTTAAACTAAAATATCAATATATAAGTTGTAAATATAATAATAATAATAATAAGGTTCACAAAGTTTTTTAAGTGCTTTGTAAAAATTTTAACAGAGTCTCTCCTATCATTTGAACCTCCTAAATATCTACAATAATAAAACCTATCAATTAAACTAGCAAAGGAGACTAACTTCATAACAGCAAGCTACATGCTGACAAAATAAAAATATGACCTAATTATGGTGTATGTGAAGCTCGAATTTACAATTACAAAATATAGTACATAATTTTACCAAAAAAGATTATTACAATGTGCTTCCTCTTCCAAAAAGCAATAGGACCCCTTAATGATTCGTAGGAAGAGTAGGGTCAGTTTCAATATTTGAGACTAAGAAAATTTTCGATGAGTAATGTCCCAATTTATAGTTGAAGGAATTAATAGAAAGCAAATCAAGAAGTCAAACATCAATAACTAGATAAATCTATAAACCATGAGAATATATAAATTCATATAGAATTATAAAAAGTTCAATTTTCTTTCCTTCTTTTAAATTTCTATACATATTTAAACATATTTGAGATATATGTATATATTACTCAATATAAAATCAATATACAATAAAAAGAGAAGCTTTATTTCTGAAATCAAATTTAAAGAAAATAAATTTCAAAACTCCTTCTTTAGCGAGATTTAATCAAAACGATTAATAAGCATGGACATGCAGTCCACGAGGATAACTAACTACCAAGCATAGATACAGAGTCCATGAGGGTAAATAACTAACAAGCACGGCTAAAAGCCACGAAATAATCAAACGTGACTCGAAGCCATGAAACAAGCACAGGCACAAGTTTCTACCTAGTGCTTTAATGTTTTGAGTGAGAAATTGAATGAAAGAAGGGACTTTTGGGAAAAAAATAAATCCTAAGGGATTAGATTTTGCTCTTTAATAGTTTAAGCCTATTTATTTGGTTATCATTATGCTATTTCAATCTAATAAGATTTAAATTAAGCTTTGGCTTTTATTATAATGGCTAATTATGAAAGTTAGTAACCAAACTTCCAATTCATTGAGTGATTTATTCTATTAGATAACCTCTTTATTTGAGCTACAACCATTCATTGGGAGATGATCTAGGTTGGCCCTATATTACATTAGGGTTAATTTAGTTTTATTTTGAGGGTTAAGCGACAAACCGCATTATCATGCCAATAGCACGTAACATTCATTTTTCTTGACACATGTTAATAAGAAGCTTGTTCACTTTAGGGGGCATTACTTTAAGAAGTGCAAGCAATTCAATAAAGCTTTTATCACTCCAACTGCTACTCGCTTTTAAGTTGTACAAGCTTAACACCCTTGACAATAATGTGAAATCAATACAATCAGTATATAAATGCTTTTCTACATCGCTTTTTAATTTCTTAAGCATTTCAAGGTAATCTTTTAGTTCCTCTTCAGTTGCCTTAGTCATCTCTTCAAGATCATTTTCCTCATTATCCTCATATGTACTTGTATCAAAATCATGTGACATGTGGCTCTTACTATACTCCTAGCTCGCATCTCTTGCCTCTCCATGCTTGTGCTAATACTTATAACTCTAATTAATTCCATAACACACTATATGATCTTACAGTTCAGATGCATAAACTTGCTTTATCAGACAATATTTTACACAAAGGCACACCATACTAGTATGATTGTTTGTGTGCTTAAGTGCAAACTTAATAAACTCTTTCATCCCATTCAAGTATTCCTTCTTTAATCGATTGGAAGACATCCATTCCTCGTCCATTTTCTAGATTTAGAAAGAATCATTTTGAGGAAAAATGTAATTCGTGACTCATTGACATTAGGTTTTCATCAATCAAATAATGAATCATGAGTCACACGCTTTCACACATAATTCCTCTATAAACTTTATTGACTACAAGTATTTAAACTAATTTAAAGAACTTAGTTTCAATAAAAATTTGACTATCTACTAATAGGTATTACTATAATATAATTCATTCCTACTTAGTCAGGATAACAACTAAATTCACAAAAACATAATTTTAAACATTTGAAACTTAAGTAATAAAGCCACAAATTTTGTTAATATTTAACAAAATTTTGACAACATAATGACTCATGATTGGAAGTTTCCCTAACATTTTATCCTCTCTTCATATTAAATTCAATCTCTGTACAATGTAATCAAACTTAATTACACTAAAATCACCATAATAAATCAAAATATATCTATGCCCGTTGGAATGCTTAAGACTGGTAGCCTCTCATCATTTTTTTTCCTTCTTTTGAATGAATCTTGATTTTTATAATAACCAAAAAATTTTAGTTTCAAAGAAGATAATCATAAAATAAAATAAAATCTATGGTAAGTTATTTTGATGGTACTTTTATTAATTTTGGAGAAAGATAGTGGTGGGATTAGTTAGTCTCTTATTATTTAGATCTTAGCGTTCGAATCCCTCTCCCTCAAAAGGGAAATTTATTTTTTTATTCTAGCTTTATAGTATTTCCATTTTACCCCTAACTCATTAGATATTTTATTCTCTCTCTCAACTTTCTTCTTCGACCGAATGAGCTGTTGCTCTGCGTCTCTGTCATTCTCTGCCTCCTCCCTCTTCCTCTTCATCTTGTCGCTATCATTGGTGAGCTCAAGGGCTTTGCCTGTTGCCGTTGAGTCTCCTCCTTTCCCATTTCTCTTTTTGATCTGTTATCGGTGCTCGAGTGAGAAAGGAACTAAAATTCTTGATCTCTTTCGCCTTCTCCTTCCTTTGCCGATGTGGTTATAAGTTGGAAAGCCATTTACCACCACTGGAGATCCAATACATGATTTCTCCTACTCCCCTATTTCACGACGTTCTCTGATCTCTGTTCAGCTAGCCATTGTGCATGCATGAGGATCTCTTTCTTCCTCTTCCTTATTCAAGCATCAGTGTATCCTATTAGTTTTCATTATTAATGATCAAAGGAAGTTTGGAAGGAGAGGAAATTCATTAATGTGGTAAGAAGAGGACTTTATACTTTTAAAAAAAACTTTAGGTAAGTGAATAATATCCCAACTGATTTTTCAATAAAGATTTTCTCTATAAAATAGTATATTTTTATGCAAATTATTTTAATAACAATGATGTGGTTATTGAATAGTTTGTTTATTAAACCTATTTATTTTGTGAAATTACTTTTATCAGTTTTGAAATTTTAGTTAATAAATAAATATAAGTTTTCACTTTAATTATGAGATTTCATTCTATTGAATATTAGATTGTTACAGAAAATGATTCATGCGAGTTCGACTTTGAAAATGAAAATTTATTTATTACTGATAATTTTCTCACATGTTTGAAATTGAATTTGAAAGGGACTTATTATAGAACATTGGTTGCTAGCAACAGTTCCATTAGCCTTTGGCACACTATGGTTATGACTAGCTAGTTTGATTTGTGTAAGCATCGCATTCACGTCTTTTGTTCGTGGGTTTAATACCCGTGTTGATTTCGTGGCTTTGAGCCACGTTTAGCTAGCATTACCTTCGTGGACTATGTGTCTATATTTGTTTCGTAGCTCAAACTATATTTGGTTACTTATTCTCGTGGACTATGTGTTCACATTTATTTTCGTGGCACAAGTCGCATTTGGTTATTTATCCTCGTGAACTGTGTGTCTATGTTTATTACTTGTTCTGATAAGTCCCCATAATTATGGGTTTTTAATTATTTGATGGATCTATTTTTCATTGATTTTGATTAATGGCATATTTATAATTATTTAATGCAATTATTTGCTATATTGAAATTGCATGATAATGATGTTTGATATGATATTTTAATAAATCAAGAATTTATTTAAAGCTACATAAAGTTCTTTATGACAAATTTTATTAAATATTTTTTTGTGAAATTGTTATTTCTAGCACATATAATCATGTTAAACTTTCTTTTTATACATACTTAATTATTTATTGTTGGAATGCTATTGACCAAAAATTTATTTTGGTCTCAGATTTATTATCTGATGCTGATCTTATTACTGACCTTTGAGAGGCATACAATTGTTCTGGGTGGAATTTTGTTTGGTACTATCTCCCTTTGATGTAAATATTTGATTTCATGTATTTTATTTTGGAAGTAAGGTTAGATACTCCACATAGCCTATAACTAAGATTCTATTTTGATATATGTTATTTACTTGCTGGAAGGAGTTGAGCTCCTAATTGATACTATATTTTGTGTAAGATAAAATGTTGTAGAACTTTTTGGAAGATTCTATTTATTAGGGAGGTTTTGGCACAGAAACCGAATGAAAAGAGAAAACTTTGATTTTTATTTCAAGTCTAAACTGCCTCTTACAACAAAGCTAGTCCTATTTATAGTGTTAGGACTCTGAACAAAACAGGCAAGCAGCTAAGACATTACAAATGTAAATGTTAAACGTTTTATTGGCTTAATGAAGGT